AATCATTACAAGTTTCCAAGTCTCTTTGAACTCATCAAATCAATATTTCAGAAACATTTGGCACATTTTGACTTTGTAAAGAAGCGTAATGTTTATACAACGTAGTCAAAGTATTCATGACCATATCATGCAATTTTGCAGCCTTCACAGAGTCATATTGATCATTAATAGCCCATTTCACATAATGCATTTTCCATCTAGGATCAAGGACAACAGCAACATACAACATCAAGTTAATGTTATCCACATTATCCCAATATTTTTCATGTTTTTTCTTCATCCCATGAGCCATTGACATCTCACCACTATCAACACTTTCACACCTTTTTTTAATCATCTTCCAATTGTCACAAGTTCAAGCAAATACACAATGGTAGTAGCATACAAATTTCCAGAAAGTCTCAAAGTGGCATCATAAAATATCTTGAGAAAGGTAAGCAAAGAAGCAACACGATTCCAATCGTTATCAGTAGGAACACCAGAGAGTTTTGTTAATTCAACAAGAAATTTATCACCATCAGAATTTTCCAACAAATCAAAAGCTTTTCGATATACCATAGCATATTGTAACATCAAATAAGTGGAGTTCCACCTAGTTTCAACATCCAAACAAAGTTGACGTTTGGATTCAATTTGTTCTTGATTAACACAATTTCGAAACTTTTGCAATCTAGCAGGGAAAGATCTAACAAATCTCACACCACTACGTATTCTTTTTATTGATTCATCACACTCTTTAAAACCTTCCCTCACTCTTAAATTAAGAAGGTGGGTTGCACATCACATATGCACGAATTTACCATCTAAAATAGTCCCATCTTTCCATCTTTGCAACCTTCTCCTCAAATATTGAACCCTTACATCATTTGAACCTGCATTGTCTACGGTAATGGTCATTACCTTGGTGATACCCAACTCAAGCAAACACTTTACAAAAGATTTACCAATACTCTCACCTGTATGGTCACTAATTGGACAAAAATTTAATTTTTTTTTGTGCAAGTTCCAATTATGATCAATAAAATGGGCTGTTAAACACATGTAAGACAAATTTTGAAAAGAGGTCCATAAATGTATTGGTAGTGAGACAAATACGAGAAGAACACTTGCTAATCAGATTTTTTTTTTGAGTCCAAAAACACACGATTACAATCTCTTGCAACTTTGAAACGAGAGGGAATAATGAAATTTGGTTGAACAGCAGACATAAAATGGCGAAAACCCTCACGCTCAGAAAACCTAAATGGGAATTGATCCATTATTATCATTTTATCAAAAGCTTTTCGACCATTTTCCTTCCTAAACTTCCAAAATTCTAATTTCCCCTTCTTTTCACATTTTTTTTATTGTCACCTATACTATCTACTAAATGTTGTTGACTTTGCTCACTAGAAAAAGCAAGAAGCCTTTGTGATTGCTAAATATTAGGGGGATAATCCTTACACCTTGAAAGATGATTTTTCATAACACTTGACCACTTTTAGAGTCACCACAAACATCAACTTGACAATACAAACATTTTGAACTTTTATCCTCACCTTTTTTTATCAACACAAAATGATCCCAAAGCCAAGACCTTTTTTTCTTACCTTTATTTTCAGCTCCTACATCATTACTAGTCCCAGTTGAAGGTCTCTTTGCTGAAACTGTTGGTGGTGGATTTTGATCTCAAACAGGCTCGACAGCAGCAGCACATGAAACCTAGGGATCCTCACTTGACGGGTTAGTTGGGGCAGCACTTTCAGCAGTAATATCATCCATTATCTACAACACAACATTAGACCACTTTAGAATTTAAATACCCACAAATTGCAGAATATTAACTTATCAAAAATTAAATATTAAAGCATACTAATTATAATGAACAATCAAATATCAACCCACAAAATTGAACACTAACATCACTAACTCACTAATTGAACACAAATCAACCTATAACCCTATATACTGCCAGTATGAACACATGTTAATTGAACCAGTAATTGAAGAAAAACAAGGGTATATTTATACTTACAAAAACGAATTGAAATCAGAAATTTATACATAAACAAAAGAATTGAAATCAACAATATAATAGAAGGCGAAAATGAAATTCAACATTAAATGAAATCAAATAAAAAAAAATCACCATTAAATGACCTAAGGGAGAGAAAAGAGGAGAAAATGAACAAGGGAGCAAATTAAAAAGAGGAAGAAACTTATTGAAGAGGAAGAAGCCGTGAGGAAGATAGAGTAGCTGTCTCTGCCACGATGTCACCGACCCAAGAAATGGAGAAGACGTCGTCACCGTAGTCGAATTGGGAGTAAGATGACTAAAATCTGAGAAGAGGGCACTCGATTTAGGAGTGAGATGACTGAAATCTCAGAGACTTGAGACTTTGAGAGGAGAGATGCGGGAGTGTGTGGGAAATGCGTTTCTGTTTAGGGAATTAGGGTTCTAGTCTCCAACCTTTTTTTTATGTGAAAAGGCTATGAAATAGAGAATATTCGAGAAATAAAAATGGAAAAACAACTATTTTTTGGGTATCGGATCGGATATCCGATGTCTGATATCCAACTTTTTTCGGATATCGGATATTTGAAATCCAAAATTTGGATATCCGATATCTTAAAAATCCGGATCAGATATCCGATTTGAATTCATATTCGGATCGGATTTCCATAATTTTCGGATCGGATGGGGATCAGATTATCGGATTTTCGGATCTTCAAATAATTTTGCTCAGCCCTAGTTTTATATATCCCACAACCTCAAGATTGTGAGATGCAAACCTAGTTTCAGCCCTTAGTGCGACAGTCTAGGGCCCACGCCAAAAAAGGCCCAAAATTATATAAAAAAAATCAGTTTAATTTAATACTTTGTAACTTGTGGGCTTTAGTTGTAGATTTGGCTCCGTGTTCTTTATCCAACTTACATTTCAACAAAGAGCTTTCTAAGAGTTAATTACTCAATTTATTTAGCAATTAGCATTATTTACTTAGCTATCATATCAGTCAATTAGGTGAAATTTACAATGTTTTCTAATCTCTTCACCTCCTCCTTCTCCAGTTTCCATGAATAACATGATCAAAAATATAAATTTTTCCAATCACGCTGCTTCACTTGTTCTTCAATTATCAAACTTCAATCCCTTTAATTTTGGCTAATTAATACTATGGCAATGATTAAGATATTTAACAAGATACATAGTAGCAAAAATAGTTCATCTATCACCAAATATTCAATTCCTATCTTCTTATTATTGGTTGTTTCTAATGAAATTTACGGCATTGATGAAATTTACGGCCGTTTCTTTTAAATGTGTACTTTTTACATGTAAGAAGTATGGATTATTATATACGTACTCCCCTTGAATGTGACGACTTCAACTATTAAGTACCTTTATATAATATGGGTCCACTGTTATATATACTCCCTCTTAGCCTAATATTTTAATGCATTTTTTTTTTACTTTTTCACGGTCTCTAATACACATGTTAAAATGATTTTATTTTTATTTTCATATGTGTAAAAATTATATAAATTAGATATTGATAAAACATACAATATCCAACAAGATCTCACACTAGTATATTATGTCTTTTCAATTAACAGACAAGTACGTGTTCAATACTTTGAATGAAGTGTATGTATCCCAAATTGCCATTGAGATATGATAAGCTTCCTAGTAGAGTATGTTGGAGTTAGTAATGCAACCGAAAAGTTTTTATCTCAGACTTAATCGAGTTGATTTGTTCGAACGAGTAGGTGAGAGTAACTCCTTGGTTGAAAACTCATTATTGTACAACAATCCGATACATGGTCATGTACCTTGTACTACGTGACCCTGTGATACTCATGGTCGTCTACGTTACTCTACACGGTCGTGTGGTTTTGTAGACTTTACTTTTGTTATGGATTAATGATGGACAGTGCTTGTTCATTGAAATCAAATTAACTTTAATAATCAAAGTGAGCGTACTGTTGTGGTACTGCGACCATGGCATCAAAGGATTGTTCTCTTTGGAACGAGGTCGTGTGCTAGTTAACAGATGCAATGGGTAATCTTGAGAAAGTCTGCGTGTCGTACCAAGGTAGCAGACAGGATGCGCGGTCAATCGTGCTCAATATCAGATATGTTCCTTCTCAAATTTATGTAAGATATTTCTAAACTCACGTTGGTAAGTGTTTTTGAGATGGGAATTTTTGTGAGTTATTAGCAACAGTGCTAATTAATTTTGCTAAAGTTCTAGTACCTTATAACTGCCATTTTTTGTGTGCTTAGTTTAATCATGTATGATTATGTGTATTGACATTTTTCCTAGTTGATCATGGATGTTATTTGTTCTATCTTTTGATAGTATGTGTGTTGAATTATTTAAGCCTGTGATGTTCCCTTTAGTTTGAAAAAGGGGATTTAGAATTATCGTTGTTAATTCTTGTGTTCTTTGGCTTATCTTTTGAACTTGAAATGTGTGTAACTGCTAGAGAACCAGCATTTTGACTTTTCTTGTTGAAGGTCAAGAAGTGATCGGGTTTTCTCCATGCTTGAGAGCAGAAGTAAACACTAGGCGAAAAACCCCAATCCCCACCGGTTCAAACCACACATTCCCCACCGGTTTTGAATCGTTCTTGATTTGGGGGGTGCTAAATCCTCAAAGATTTCCCACCGGTTCAAAACCGGTGGCAAAAACCACTTTTCCCACCGGTTTTGGAGTGAACCGGGTGGCAAAAACATGTGATTTATGTTATAGATGGAAGACATTTCCCACCGATTTTGGGGTGAACCGGTGGCAAAACCATGACATTTCCCACCGGTTTACACATTGAACCGGTGTCAAAAGTCTCCAAAAAAAATTTTAGGAAAACTTTTAGCACCGGTTCTTTCCAAAACCGGTGCCAAAAGTGCCCTAAAAAATAAAAAAAAAAATTATTTTTTTTTTTGCATTTTTTTCACTTAAATTGTACCAAATACTTATATATAATCATAATATACATAAAACACATACATTTGCCTCAATAACTTGTAATATTACACTTTAAAAAACTAAAAAAAAATGGACATATAAACACTAACATATATATTTTCTTCAAAAATAGCCAACCATGATGCACTGCAATAGAAGACAGCAGCCCACCCTAACAGAAACAAAAAACAGAAACAGCCCAAACAGACACAGCCAGCAGGCTTCCAGTAGCAGGTTTCCAAACAGATGAGCATACCAAGCATAGCCAGCCACCCAACACCTGCAGCAACCAAATGCAGCACATGAACTACACCAGAGCCTGCAACCAGATCCCAGTAGCCAGGAACAGCACAACAACTAGAAACCAGAAACCCGAGCGTCTGTAAACCAGACCCTAGCAGACCTGAACTCAACAAAGCCAGAACCCAGCAAACCAAATCCAACACCCAGAACAGAGACTGCAGCAGAATCTGTACCAGAGTAAGACCTGCTACAGGACCTGCACGAGACAAACTCAGCATGGTATATACTAGTTAATACTAGTTCGTTGCACCCACCAAAATTTCTTTTCCCTCAAATCATAAATCTTTATCAACTTTAAAGTTAATACATTTTCTATGAGGTGATGGACTGCAATGACATTAACTAAAATCAGTCGTATAAGGTAGTCATGGCTACTCTTTCAGGTTGTGGGTTGCTAAAAGGCCAGACAAAACTTTGAAAAAACCACAGATAGCTGTTGAATGCATGTTGACACAACCGTGACTGTTATTTAGAACTCCATATTTGATTAACTCATACTTGGTAGTTCACTTGTAAGATCTGAAAGACTTACGAATCAAATGTCAGAAACTATGCAAGTCCACAGCAGAGGGCAGCTTAGCCAGGGACTTAGCCTATTGTGGACCATGTATCCTAGCAGTAATAATACTATCAATGGTTATTACTATCCTTCAGCACATTGTGCATATGGGAGGAGCGGGGATTAATTTAACAAGGACTCACACAGTTTCTGGTCCCAGGCTTCTACCAACCACCGCGAATAATTACAACTTAGCTATTGTTGGAATTTAATACAGCAAATAAGCAAGCGTTTATGTTAACAACAAATAACAGTCAGTATCATGTGTTAACATAACTTCTCAATTAAAAAAAGCTTGGAAAACTAATATCATAAGAGTATTGATCAACGAAAAACACGAGATTATTTCAATTCCAGTGTTTCAAAATGATTTTAATTGAAAGCAATCATAATAAAATTTCCAACTTCACTACAAATGTTAATTAACATCCCACTAAAAACTACTACCTTCAATATATGTACATAAAACAACTAAATTGACCAAATTGAGAGCAGTACATTGGTTTTATTTAAGTGGTCAGATAATAATCATAATAAATAACGAAGACGAAGCAACAACTTTTAGTCACCTGGATTAAATTGCTCCCCTTTGATAAGATCAACTGCTTTGTACTCATATTGAAGTCCTACAGCATGATCAAGCTCAAATTAGTCCAAATTATAATCAGAATTTGCAATTAATTGAAAATGCTAAATAAGTAAAATATTGGAGGAAAAATAAATTGAGGAAAGCAAAGATTAAACCTTTTAAGTTTAAAGCAAATCGAACGCGCCACGAACAAGAACTTAGCTAAAAAGAGTAAAGCACCCTACTTGTTGATGCTGAAGAAACCCTACTAATTCATGTAAAATATAAACTTACTCATACATCACACATTGAAACACAATATGAAGAAACCCTACTAAGGCAAATAAGATCATACACCGCAAGCATAAGGAATATATATGTCAATATTCAGAGATAAAAGTATAATAGTAAAGGATTAAGGACATGGTGATAAGAATCATACCACAATGTTTGCATTTATAGTGTCTCTCTCCATAAAGGTCCTGTCAAGTGGCATTTTTCCAATAGCACTACGCATCACAGTTTGTGCTAACTGAGTTACTGCATAGAGGACATTATCATTGCCATAGTTGATATAAATCCTCTAGTATATATAAAGGAGAATAGGGATGCAGGTACATATCAAAATAATTGCTACACTAGAATGTAAAAATCAGATACGACACACATCCTAGAATTGGACATGGTTGCAAGGATACGAGTCACACGACATATATGGAACATGTTCATTTTTAGAAGACTTTGCGTGAGTTAAAGCATACAGATGCATGCACACATGTTAAGCAGACTTGATAGTTAATTTTTGTTGAAATACTTGTGTGAAACGTACTTGTGAAAACATATCGTACTTATTCTCATCTTCATTATATTTGTACATTTTTTTTCTCTAAAATTAGGGGTTCAAGATAATTGAAGTGAATGAGTGAGCATGGAGTGTTGTGTAAGAATTATATACCCTTGTCAGAATGTCGATTGTTCGACATGGGTAGGAAGACAAGCTGAAGAGCCAAAGTAACATAGGCTTTAAGTTGTCAGAAAAGAATAGCATTACTACATATGTACATATCTAGGATCCTATCCATTATAAATATCTTATACATTCCACTTCCATCATCAGATTTTCATTTTGCAGTAATAAGATTACCTAAATTAATAAATAAATTCATCTTATCCCTCACATATACATAAACTAGGTCCAAGATATGACTGAGGCTTTAACAATAAGATAGATGGACAAATTAAAATCTTTGTTCTATGCTAAGCTTCATGCATGAAACCTTATATGATGCATCAAATTCTAGATTCAAATTGTACAAAATTTTCTTTGCTGGTAACCAAGAGTAAGCATACCAGGAGGCTGCTTCTTCAAGGGCAAAAAGTACACCACCAACAGGAGCACGAAAAGCAGCAGCCACTCCAGCTGCAGCACCACATGTGGTCAAATCTCGCCGGTCTCTATCATTCTTGAAATATCTGAGCTAATTCCAGGTCAAACCATACTTGCGAGAGCCACCCTGACCAAGTAGATTGGCGATGCAAGCCCTAGTATGAACCATAGGGCCTTACCAACAACAAACCCAGCAGAAACACCAAGAACATAACCAAAGATCTAACCATGAAACATTATGTGAATCAACAGTTATAACTACTAGTATTTTCTTCTCTAGTAAAGGCATAAGAACTGAAAACTAGATATTTATTTACTTTATACAGATGGGGAAAAAACACTACAAGTTCAGGAATGTAGCAATTAGTTCATAAATAATCACATGAAAGAAACCTCATGAGTCTTAACTGTTCGTGTATACACTTAAAAATTCTTCTAGCAATGATGCATAAATCATAATCTAGTTTAATAAATTATAGAGCATATGCTTAATTATCCTTAGTTAGCCTCATTAAAGAGACTGAATAATAACCACTCAACTCATGAATTGCCTTACGGAAAAAATAATTTAACCGTTCTTTCTTGGAGGAAGGAATGTTGGCATAATAAGCAAATCAGACTTCATTTTTTTTAGGGGTAAGGGGTGGGCTTCACCTTGATTTCCTATCACAGGAATATCAAGGGGGTATTACCCACGGGGGAGGGGGGATATGAGCCTCGAACCCAAGTCACAGCCACGGAAACTGAAGCCTTGCTCCACTAAGCTATGGGCTTCTTGCTCTATTCATCAGACTTCACATCATGACAAGAATGAGATATCTTCAGTCACTCCCCTCCCACACACACACACCAAAAAAATTATAAAATTAACTAAACAATTAAAAAGTCATTCTAATAATCTACTTAATAGTTAAACTAGACTAGTATCAACAAAATAGCTTAAATTTGAGTAGTATCACTAGCATTTGCCCGAGCCAAAATAGCTCATGTTAACATTCATAATGAAGCAAACCATCACAAGTCACTAATACAACAAACCAAAGTATGATCAGCATGATAAACAATAACAAGAAGTTCAAGAATTGAAGTTACACATACATCAACCTTGGCAGTTGACACATAGGAGATAGACATGGTGACAGATACATTCATTGGAAGTCCTTCTCTGTAAATAACCACAGCACCAAGCTCATCAACAAGGTTCGCAATCGTGTCGGATGCTAAATTTCCATTTCTATCCTGGACCATTAAGGAATCAAACATGTATTCCAGAAAATTAGAAGCTAATAAAAATAAATTGAAAAATCTAAATTAACAAAACCCTAGAAAAATGCCAATATATTTCAGAACTAATAACCTATAATAATTTAAAAACAACAACAATAACAATGAAATTGCCCCAATTTTGACCTAAAAACTGCAATCAAAATTGTAACCCTAGCAAGAAGAAAACGAAATTGAGGTAAGAAGTTAAATAAATAGAATTCAACAACGAACTTGGTGGTCAGCTGTTGGACGGTGGTGGTGGAGCACAAGGACGGTGGTGCGTGCGACCGGAGCAGGCAGAACCAGCAATGGTCGACGGTGGGCACTTGCGAACAAATTCGGTGGTGCTTGAGACAATTAGAGGCTGGAACCCACCATCACTAGCACCGACAATTAGAGGCAGACCCAGCAATAGTCGACGGTGGGCACTTGCAAATCAGAAGCCCCTTCAATGGAGAATGTCGAGTACGCTTCAATGGAGGAGAGAGAGAGGCAGATGAGAGAGGAGGAAAGATCGAGGAAATGATAGAGTAAGAAAGAAAATTGACCAGTTCTAAATAAATTTTTTCCCACCGGTTTGGGATGAACCGGTGCGAAATCCAAGATTTGCCACCGGTTTATAAGGAACCGGTGGGAAAAGAAATTATCCAAGTCCTGCCCATTTCTTTTCCCATCGTTTTTAAAAACCAGTGGGAAAAGGGGGTGCCTTTTTCATTTTTTCTACAAGTGAAAAGGTATGGTTTGACAAGAACTAGTAAGGTTGTACAAGTCTAAATGTTATGGCCTCCACATGCGGTAATAATGGAGTGTGTATTGATCTCATACTCACTATGTAGAGAGTCCGATATGGTGAATATGTTGATCATGTTAAAACCAGAGTTGTTAGGTGAATATGGTGAATATGTATGTTGATCAAGTTAAAATTCCCTTTCAATATTCCAAACCAACTTAAACATTTAGTTTAAATAAACATGCTCTCAATCATGCCAATAATAAAAGTGTATTTCATATTCAACATGCCAATATAATTAATTTCACTCATCAATTCACCACAAATAATTCATACTTCACAAATCAATCATCAACATCAATCCAATCCACAATTCCAACCAATACCTATCATGATACTACCATGGAAATAATTAAATAAAGCCTAGCATGCTTCTATACACTTAAATAATTACCAAGTACGCGAACGTACCTTGAATATGATCTCAAAATCACCACGCCTACACAAAATCACTCACTTAGAAATCTCCTACAACCCAAAATTACAAAGAGACATTAATACTCGTTCAATATATATTTTCAGCAATATATACACTCCATAAATCACTCAGAAACCCTCTAAAATAAGTTGAAAATTAATTTTAAACCCTTACTTTTAATTTATTCTCAATAAATGGGTAATTAAAAATCCTTTTAAGAAACATAATTATAGCCTTTATATAAAAATTCCAGCTTCATAAAACCATGTAAAATTGATGTAATTATGTTAAAACATCTAATTTATTAGTTTCAATCACCTACAATCAATTTTCATCAACACACATTAATTTAGAAACCTAGGGTTTTCAATTTGGGGATTATTAATTCAAAAACCGAATATGAAAATTATATACATAATAATTATATTCAAACATCATAAAAATCATCACACAACCCAAAAACAATAATTGAATTAAAGCTTGAATAATTGTAAAACAAAAGAATTTTTTTTTGAAAACACACGAATAACAAGGGGGGAAGGGGAGGTTGGCTAGCGCCACCTCCAACGCTGCTCCTGCTGCCGGCCCTATGCTGGCGATTGCGGCTGCCGGCACTTTGCTAGCGGCGACTGCCGACAGTGGTGGTGGTGGCAACTGTCACCGTGGTGGAGGTGTGTGTGTGTGGGGTGATGTGTGTGAAATTAAAACGAAAGTGGAGGAGGAAAATTAAAGGAGAGAGGAGATAGAGAGAGAGTTTACCTTTGGTTATTCTCTACCTTGGGCAAGATACGGGGTATTACAATTATAATGGGCATTTTGATTGTTTGCTAAATTGAAAATTGTTGAATTTAAACCAAACATAGTGATAATTGAATTGCTTGCTAAATTGAGTATATAATTTATTTATTATATCATAATCATGTTATGTTGTTTTTTTTTTTTCTTTTTTTTTTATATGTTTTGGTAAATTCATTATCAAGTTTATGTTTTTATATACTTAACTTGGGTATTTTTGACAATATAGGATTGTGTAATCTAATTGAAATTGTGACTTAATTTTCATAACGAAAAAGAAAAAAGACATGTAATTTATAACAAGCTAGTTTCTTTAGTCCAAAATGCAACTTCTTCCTCATTAAAATTCTCCTATATCACAAAATCATCCTCAACAAAGATCTACCTCCTAGATCAATGGGTATGCGGTCGATGGGTGACGGTCGATAAGTGACGGTGGCCCAACAGCCTTAAAATCCTGGATTCGCCATTAAACATGTACGAGAAGGTTATATACAATTTCTTAATATAGATTAAATAACTTGGAATTATATTATGCAACATATATTCTCCTCACACTGAAAATACCATGCACGATCCATGGTTTTATATTGTAGGAAATATGACTAAGTTAAGTATATACAAACATAAACTTGATAACATATAGTCCTTTATACCACAAACAAGTATCACCATTAGCCACAATAGACGAATTTATAAATCCGACTTTAAATTGTAGGAAATACGACTAATAGCAATAAGGATTAAAACAAACTAATCTGATTTAATAATGTCGTAGCGTGACATAGCATCATCACTGCCCTAAAATCGACTTTGCCTCATACTGCACATATAGACTCGTAGCAATCGACCTCTAGGGATACATGACTCTAACTCTTGGTGTACGATAAAGAATTAGATTGAGAACACTTTCGAACAATGCTCAAAGAATAATGGTATGTAGTGAAGCATCATTTTTGTGAGAAAGGAATTTTGTTTTTATCTTTCTCTGTCTTTTTAGGATGAAGGAGGACGTGTTATAT